CACAGATCTAGTGGCACTTCCTGGCTGGGGAGTCAAAGCTCAGTACAGGCCTGTGCATTGAAGAGCAGGGTCTCTGGTCTGGTTTCCTTTCATAAACATTCCTCACAATGGTGATGGCTTATGACTTCTGTCTGCCTTTATTTTATTTTTGGTACTGGGGATTGAATCCACCGACACTTAGCCACTGATCCACATCCCCAGCCCTTTTTTGTATTCTATTTTGAGGCAGAATCTCACTGAGTTGTATAGGGCCTTGCTAAGTTGCTGAAGCTGGCTTTGAACTCGCAATTCTGCTGCCCCAGCCTCCTGAGCCACTGGGATTACAGGCGTGTGCCGCTGCACCTGGCTGCCTCTCTCTCTCTCTTTTTTTTAAGTGGAAGAATGGGAATTGTATTAGCCTGTGGAGTTATTTTTAAGAGGCCATTATTAAAACCTCAAGATCGGGAAAGGATCATTTTTTAAAATGGACTCGGGAAACCCATCAGGTGAAGCTCTGTGGAGCCGTTCCGTACACAGCACAGCCAGTGGTCAGGTGAGCCGCAGCGCTCTCAGCGGATCCACCTCCTGCGGTCCCAGGGTGGCTTGCCCCACGGGAATGTGCTCTGCAAAGTGGGACTTGGGCCTTGGCCCCCTGAGCATCCAGCTTCGGGCCCAGCTTTCTTCCAGGAAGATGCCCAGGGGAGAGTGGAGGCTGGTGCCAGGTGCCCCTGGGGTGAGGGGAGCATGGCTGCCTCCTCTCCCTTTGCCTCCTGCCTTGCACTCACGCTCACTTACACAGATGTATTTTTATTCATTTTTATTGGCCCACTTTTCTTTTTGGTGATGGGGTTCAAACCCAGGGTCTCTTGCATGGTAAGTCCAGACTCCACCCTGGAGCTCCATCCCCAGCTCTTGCCTTTTGGTGCTCCACCTTTTCAGTCAGGCCCCACTCTTTATACGTGGGGTGGACTGTGGGTCTGAGCCTGGCGGTCCCCAGGGTTCTCTGGAGCAGTGTCAGGCTCCACTGCTAGTTCCTCGTTCTTGAGTGGACACAAGGCTTTCCCTTTTTATGTGGTAGCCCCAGGTTCCTAACACAAAGGCCATTAAAAGGCATTTGTCTAGGCCAGGTGCGGTGGCCCATGCCTGTAATGCCAGCGGCTCAGGAGGCTGAGGCAGGAGAATCATGGGTTCAAAGCCATCCTCAGCAAAAACGAGGTGCTAAGCAACTCAGTGAGACCCTGTCTCTAATAAAATACAAAATAGGGCTGAGATGTGGCTCAGTGGCCAAGTGTCCCTGAGTTCAATTCCCAGTACCCCCCAAAATAAAAAATGAATTTATAAAAAGACACCTGCCCAGAACTGGACCACAGTGTCCACAGGGCTGACTGGTCTTTCACTCTAGCCCCCAGCAGTGCTCAAGAGCAGGCTCTGGCCTCAGGGGGTCCGCTGCGCCTGGGCCCACGAGTCACAGCCAGGGGTGCTGCTGCTGCATGTGTGAGCTGGCCTCTGTGCCAGCCACAGACCCTTCGCTGTGTGTCTCCTGGCTGAATGGGACCCTTTGCTGTTGAGGAGTGTGGTTGGACCTTAGGGATCAGGAAGCACACAGCTGGCTCTCTCTGCTGCTGGGCGTCCCGACTTCCACCAGTGGCCAGAAGAGTCTGTTGAGCGCGTCTTCTTCTCACCATCCCCTGCCCAGATGTGTGCAGAGGAGCTTTGAGTGGTCTTGCCCTGGAGCTGGTCAGAAAGGTCAGATTCTGCTTCCAGAGAGAATTCCCCTTCCCAAGTCTCCTGGCTGCCAGAACATTCCTGTGGTTCTTATAGCGGGGTCCTTGCCGGTCCTGGCCATGGCTGGAGGTGCCTGTCACAGCCAGGCCACCTGCCTGGCGATTGCAGGCGCTCTTGGAGCTGTGCTCTTTGCCCTTGAGGGCCACTTGGTCCAGTCATGGTGAAGGGTGACAGAGGCCACCCAGGAGGGTGGGAGCTTTCCAACCTTGAGGGGTGCTTGTAGGACAGGTGCTGAGGTGTTGGGGCACTCGTCCTGGGAGAGCTATGTCGTTAAGAGCCTCTTCCACAGCCGAGAAACCCAACGTCACAGGGAAGACAGCCACCTGAATTGACACTTGTGGGTGTGACGATGGCCTGTGCCTTAGAGGTGTGTGACTGACCGTCTTAGCCTTGGGGGTGCCAGTGGAGGCCTGTGCTGCTGCGCTGCACATTTCTTGATGGTCAGCGCCTGTCCCTAAGCTCTGCTTTCTGGAAGAGGGCTGCCAGACGGTCACGGTGAGGTGTGTGGGGGGTGAGCAAGGTGCGTTTGCAGACAGATTTCTGGAATCTATCTTCTGAGCAAGCCTCACCTTGCAGGACGATCACCTTCTGTGTGTGTGCCCTCTCTGAGGCCAGGCTGGCCCTCCTATAAATCCTGGACACGGGCGGCCCAGGTGCCTGGCCTAGCTGGTACCACCCAACCTGTGCTGTGACTTTGGAAAGGGCTCCACATGTCCAGGAGCCTGGGGGCCCCACGTCCCGCGTGAGGTTTGCTGTCGCCTTCCAGCTGCACCCTCCACACGCTCACCAGCTGCCTGCCTGGCATCCCCGGGGGTTTCTCTGCCCCACATGGACAGAGCTGACTCTAGTGCAGCACCAGGAATCGTGGGGCACTGGATGGTCTGGCCCTGGCATGAGGACACCTGTGGACAGGCTGCCAGGGCTTAACTCTGACCCTTCAGAGCGATGCAGAGGCCCGGTTAAGAGGGAGGAGAGGGGCCTGGAAGTGGTGTCTGCTCGCCGGGCAGACCAGCACAGGGGGCCCGGGCAGCGGGAGGAAGCTCCCAGCCACTGTCTCGGCTTATGTCCACTCCCAGGGAATCCCACTTTCCCCCTGGGCCTCTGCCTTGGTCCTTCTCCAGGGACTGAGGGGTGAGCAGAAAGGAGAGTGTGGGCACCTGTGGCTTCAGGACAGATCTCCACGACCTTCCGGCTCCAGGTGACACCAACCCATGCTCTTCTGTCTTAAGAGGGTATAGATCCAGAACAGCCTTTTCCTTAGGTCAGCTGCTGGCCATCCTGCCGACGTCTGCCGCCTGTGTCCCCCGGCCATGCCACGCAGAAGTCAGGGGGCCTGCAGGTGTGTATGCTCCCAATTCCACCCTCACATCTGGGTGTCATGTCGCTCTCCATTTTTTCTTCTTCTATTTTTTCCCTATTTTTAAAAATTATTTTTTGGGACAGGGTATTGCTGAATGGCCCAGGTGTGCCTGGGACTTGTGATCTTCTTGCCTCAGCCTCCTGAGTGGCTGGGACTACAGGTGTGTGCTATGGCGCCTGGCTCATTCTTGATGCATTTCCAGGAAATTGTTGCATACACACCAATCTACTTCCCCTAAATACTTCAGCATGTGTGCTGTTACCAGAGCTTAGCGTTTGTTTGTCATTCTTTCTTTTGATGTGAAATTTACATATGATGGAACATGAACCCTGGCACACCTTTCTGGATAGGTCTCTGCACCCCACCCTCTGCTGTCAGGGCCCCACTACGCCTGTTGAACAGTCAGAACCACCCAGTGGTCAGAACCACCCTGTGCTGGTCCCTCCCCTGGATTCCACTTCAGTAGATCTTTGCAGGGCCCAGGAATGTTCCAAGTGGTTCTAGAATCCACATTCCACCCCAGGTTCTCGAATCCCCTGACTTGGGTCTCCTCTCAGATCCTTGCCCAGTGGACTGAGGGGAGCCCCTGGGGAGCGTGTGGAGAATCGTGCCGATCTCAGCCCAAGGATTGGCAGAAGTGACGCAGGAGGAGGGACACACCTGTATCCCTTTGACCCAAAGAGCTCTGTTTGCTGAACAAACAGCTTGCGACTTCTGAACCTGCCCATGGGCATACTCCAGCTCCTGAAGGCTGACGCTCCACCCAGGGCCCGACTGGGTCTTGCAGTTAGAGTCTTGACTGTGGAACGGGCTTTAGTGGAGAGCTCTGAGATCACCGACACTGGGTGTGTTTCACTCACCCTGAGAGTGACCATGGGGTGGTGGAGACCCTGGGCTGCTGGGAGCACACAGGGAGTTTGGGTCCAAAGTCTGCTGCTCTGGGCTGCACCCCACCTCTGAGACAGGGCAGCGCTGCCCGTGGAGTGGCACTCTTTGGCACGAATTGATTTCTTGACTCTATAGTGCGTCCACAAGACCCGAATTCAGAACCTGCAGAGAGAGTAGCGTCCCAGAGCCCTGTGTTATGGTCCCCACCTACTGGCCTCTTAGCCGCAGTGTAAAGTTTCACGCTCACCAGCACACGGGTTCTGCTCTGAAACCTAGAGCTGCCCTCTGCCCTCCCGCTCCCCTCCAGGATGCCCCGTTCCTGTGTGTGTGTGTGTGTTTCCAGTGTCTTGTGGTGAGAAGGTGCTACAGTGAGGGGCAGGTGGCGTCATGCCGGGTGGCAAGGCTTCAGGAAGCAGACCTGCTGCATTGGAAGGCCAGGCCGTGGGTTTGAGAGACTTGGTGGTGGCCTTCCTGGGTTGCGCCAGTTCTCCTGTCTACCAGGCTCACGTGCGCTGTGTTTCTGCAGCCTGCTGTGGCCACACGACGCTCTGGGCAGGCTGTCCTGACTCCAGGCCCTGCCACGGCGCAGTAGGTGCTCTGCGTACCCTTCCGCCTCGGGAAGCTTCTCTGCCTCTGTTGCTGCACCTCTCTGAGGTGACACTGTTAGACGTAGGTGTCACCTCTATCCTGCAGGTGAGAAAGTGAGGTCAGAGGGAGGACACCCAGAGCCTGAGGTCCACAGATTGGCCGGGATCTGACCTCTCCAGTCCTCCTGGGCAGGCACCTCCTCTCACCCTCCACGCAGGGCTGTGCACTTGCTCTGGAGGCTGCAGGGGGGCAGCTGCGAAGGTCCTCTGGGCACCTCTCCTCCAGGTGCAGTCTGTCCTTCCACCACCGGAACAGTGTTCAGAGGAGTGCCGAGCGCTTCGGTTCTCCTCACTTGCCATTCCACGCAAGAGAATCTGGAGTGGGTTTCCTTTTCCCTGGCCAGGGTGTCCTTCCCGCAGGAGGACTGGGGAGTGGTGGGGGAGCCTGGGTCTGGCTCCGCCTCCCCTCGGGAGGTCTCACCATAGACAGTGGTCTCCTGGGTCCCGCTGCCTCCGTCTGCTGCTGTCTACTCCAGTGAGGGCAGCTCCGGGCAGTCGAACCTGGACTGTTGGGTGGGTGGGTCAGGAGTGTGCTTGGGCCTGGCGGGGACCCAGCTCTGCCGTGTGTTAGCTGGGTGGACTCTGGCAGATCTCTGAGTCTGCCTGAGCCCCGGTTTCCTCACCACAGAGGGGGATTCCTGGCACCACCCCCACCAAGTGGCTGACGGAGGCTGGAACTTGCTGGAGTTTTGTGACTGCCTCCCCGAGAGATCTCCTCCACCCCCATCTCAGCAGGCCGAGCCTGCTCATCAAACCCTGGAGAGTTCCCAAGTCCTTGCAACTGAAAACAGTTAAGATTCGCAGACACTTTAATTTTGGCATGATTTTTGTTGTTGTCGTTTTTGCTAATATATGAACTATTTGAGCCAGCAACACAAGCATTGAAAGCATTTCCACAGAGAGCTGGCTGCAGAGCTAGACTGCGTGTGCCATCAGTGGGCGGAGAGCTGGGAAGGGCTGGCCACCTTCCCGGTCAGCCCCTCCTGCCCTTCCTGACCAGCAGCATGACCCAGGCACTGGCCTCCAGGAAGCACCTTGGTCCTGGGTCTGATGCTTCTACCTCCCCACTACTTGGAGCCAGCTGTGGCTGCCAGCTTCCCTGACTGCCCAGCAGGCAGGACGCTGGCCCAGGACAGGAGCCTGTGGGCTGCTGCACACTGCTGGCCTCTCCTGACCTCACCGATGCTGGCCTGGACTGTTCCCGTTACTGCAGTGGGTGGCAGTCTCCTTTATCTTGGGCCATCCTCCTGGTTCTCGGTGGCATTTTGAAAGTGTGTGTGGCCTCAGCAGGTTCGTGCGGAGACCGTCCCGAGGTCTGCCTCCCACGTCTTGCCTCTTTCTAGTAGGAGTGAAGGCAGTGAAGCTCCCATGCCCACTCGGGTGCCCCTGCACGTCGTATGTGTGGGTGGGTTTCTGCACCTCATTCCGTGGCATCCTTGGAACCTGGGGGGCGGGGGGCTTGGGCAGCAACTGGTGGTCCAGATTCTGGGGTACCCCTGCCTTGCTCTGGCACTATCCCCCTCGCCACTAGCTGTGATACCTTGGAGCACAGGAGGTCATCTCTGAGCCTCTGTCTCTTCATCTGTGAATGGGTGCCTGAGCTGCCCACTTCCTGGGTTGGGTTCGGCATACATGGATGAGCACCTGCAAAATGCCACTCACTACCTGCCGCCACTCAGCCTCACATCGAGCTTGTACGTGGGCCTCAGATCCGGGAGTCGCAGTCCGAGGTGGACATTCCCAGCTAGGCAAAGCCTGTCGGCTCCTCTGAGCCCAAGTCCATTCCGACAGCGTAACTCGGAGGCAGGCCACCTCAGTTCCCAGCTTCTCACCTCAGACCACGGCTTCGTGCCTGCAGCCACCACATACCTGAGCTGCTCCTCCTTTCCCTCTGTCTCCAAGCAGCCTGGACCCCGGCCCCTGGACCCACTCTCCAGCACTGCTGACCACTCTTCTGAGCTGGCACTGGGGAGCACTGGGGTCTGCCTTCTCTAGTGCAGAAAGGGACAGTCACTCTTGGCACCCAGGTGTCCTGCCCAGAGCTGGCTCCTGAAGGGCTTTGCAAGTGACCTGGTGGCTCAGCAATGAACTTTCTGGGTTCCTCGGGAGAGTGGGGGGATTACTGCATTTTCCTACAGGGAAATGGGCCGGGGGCGGGGCGTCCCACCTTCCCGTGGGCTCAGGGTGGCCATCGCAGCTGCAGGGGTGCTGGGGGCCGCCTGTCTGGGGGCTCCTGGGGTCCTGGTGAGCTGAGGCAGGGGCAGCAGCCTGTCCTTGGGTCCTGGGGTGGCGGGGGGAGCCTGACTCGCTGTCTTTTCTTGCAGAGCCCGCGACCACGATGGTGTCCCCGGCCAGCTCAGAAGCTCAGGTACTGAAAACAGTCTCAAAGACGACTTGCTCCTGTGAGGGTGAACCTGCGTTGCGTGATGGACCCTCGGACCCGATTAAGTCCTGTAGCTGTTCGCCGAGGCAGGACAGCGCAGCACCCAGAGGGCCTCGCGGGGCCTGGGAGGAAGCTGTGCACAGAGGACAGGCAGCCAGGGCCCAGCAGGGTGTCAAGGGCTCTGGGGCAGGAGCAAGGGAGGAGTGGCTACTGACCCAGAGGGAAGTGGGTGATGACCTCTGCCTGGTTGGCCTCACAGGCACAATGCTGGGGGCTGGGTGTGAGTTTCAGGAGCAAACAGGAAAACCAGCCAAGGACACAAGCCAAGGAACTCCCACCCAGCCCACATCTCCAACCCCTTCCTCCTCCACCCACCTGCCCCAGATCACGTCCTGGATTTGGTTCTTCTCTGTGTCTTTAGACCACTGCTCTAAAATGACACCTGTTTTACAGTAAACACAGTGGCACACTCAGGGGGAGGTGGGCACAGACCAGAAGAGGATATACTATCTGTTGTTGAGAACCCAGAAACTAGCAGTGTGTCTCACCTCCCATAGTCCCTCACCTTGGAATACTGCCATTCAAGTAGCACATCGCCGAGTTTATTTACCAGCTCTGTTCTTGTCCTACATAGAGATTCCTCAAACAGTTGTGTGTTTCCAAGACTCCTCTGCGTTGCCCTGTGGTGGTTAGTCATCCCTTTTCATGGCTGCATAATATTTTGGATAGTTTCTTTTTCCCAAGTGCAGTGCTCCTGGGTGGCAGCTGGCCCCTGCTGTGCAGAGTCCCCAAGTAGTCTATTACTTGAAAACTTTCCAAAGATTTAAAAAGATCTATAAAGAGGACCTAGGGCCATAGCTCAGTGGTGGAGCGCTTGCCTAGCATGTGTGAGGCACTGGTTTTGATCCTCAGCACCACATTAAAATTGTATTGGGTCCATCTACAACTAAAAATGTATAAATATCCACAACAACGGTGTATGGGAATAGTCCATCAGGACTGTCCTTCTCAGAGGCCCCAGGTGCACTTGAGAGCGAGTAGCCTCAGCAGGGGAGCTGCCTGCACCTCGTCGCGACCCTGCAGCTTCTGACCACCCCCAGGCTGCTGAGCCTGTCCAGTGCTGGAATGCCGCAGGGCTAGAGGTTCTGAGCCTGGCCAACTGCCTAGACTTTCCCTTATGGGGAACGAGCATTCTTGACTTCCGGAGAGTTCCGATGACTGGAGGCACAGAAGACCTTTCGCTGACGCAGCTGTCAGATCAGACGGGACGGCAGTTGGCACTTTCCCCAGTGTGGCACTCGCTCAGGCCAGGAGGAAGAGGGGGCTCCTGTCCTCCTGTCCATGGGGTGGGCGGTCTGCATGAGAAAGACCGTCAGAGCCAGCCTGGGGCTCGAGGCAGACGGAGTAGGCGTGAGATGCCCTTCCCACCTCCTCGCTCATTCTTGGCCCCTACCCAGAGGCCAAGAGGATCACCGGGAATTCGAGGGGACTGTAACTCCTGCCTGCCCCGTCACCGTGGCACCCAGGAGGGGCTCTGAGGCCCTGCTGGAGCCCCCCTGACCCCGGGCTTTGCCTGCCTGGGCCGGGTTCAGGCTGGCCCCTGTCAGGTGTGACCCTCTGCTGGAGTTTTGTGGCTGTGGCTCTAGAGTCTCGGGTGTGGCTTGGAGCTGTGTCCCCGATGCTCATCTGCAGAAGGCACAGACATGCTGAGGTGGCCTCCAGGGGGCCACCCCACTGCGGCCCTGCCCTCCTGCTGGCCCTCCGCCTGGCACTGGGTTGGCCACCTGTTCTTGCTTGGCATGGCGCAGGCCCTGGCTCTCCAGGCCCCCAGAGGTGGGCACACAGGAAGCTAGAGGCCCTGAAGCAGGTGACCCAGAAGGTTCCCGGAGAGGGCAGTGGCTCCTTGTGAGGGACAAGGATGAGGACTCTACACAGCAGACCCAGGCCTGGCCAAGCAAAGGCCCAGCTCTTTGCAAGCTGTGCCCAGGCCACCTGACCTCTCTGTGCCTCTCTCCCCAAACCGCAAGATGAGAGATGGTGTCGGTGGGTTGTCCGCAGCCAAGCAGAAGAGTGACACCAGGCTCAGCCCAGGCTCCGACTAGGAGCGTGTCTTTGTGTAAAATCATCCTTTTGATCCAAGTCATAAAAGAAAAGCATGAGAGTCTGTGAGCACTAAGAGCCATGCCCAGCAGATCACAGGGAGGTCCTGTGCTGGGGATGACCTGCACAGGCCAGGGAGTGCGAGCCACCGAGCTGCACCCCGCCCTTTCCGTTTCGTTGTGAGACGGGGTCTAACAGTTGCCCAGACTGGCCTTGAACTTGTGAGCCTCCTGCCTCAGCCTCCTGTTTGGGATTATCAGTGTGGCCACCACACCTGGCAGGAGTGTCATTATTTATTTGTATTTTTTGCATGATTTTCTAAATAAACAGAGGTTGATTCAGGAAGTAGATACCCATTCAGGGGAGAATGTGGGCTCTCTAGATGAGAAGTCCCGCCTTGGGCCGGGGCAGTGCTGTAGAGGGCTGTAGCTGGGGCTGGACTGCAGGTGCCCAGGGTGGAGCTCTGAGCTTCCTCCTGCCCCAGGGCATGCTCCGAGGGCCTGTGGCTCAAGACTTAACCGCTCTGGTCCCTGCTTCTCCTTTGAGACTTAGTAGATATCTTTTTTTATCCTAAATTTTTATCTTATTCCCCCAGAAACTTTGCACCCTTAGTCTTCAGGGCTGTGAGAGGTGATGATCTTTCTTCCTCTCCGTTGGCACTGGAGATCTGACCTAAGGGCACTTCACCACTGGCCACACCCCCAGCCCATTTTGGTCTTTTCATTTTGAGACAGGGTCTCACTACGTGGCTGAGGCTGGCCTTGAACTTGTGATCCTCCTGCCTCAGCCTCCTAGCTGCTGGGATTCAAGCATGTGCACCGAGCCTGGCTACACATCCGTCTTCTGTGGCTGCTTCAGGCTGGCAAGGGGTGATGGCCATGCCTAGTCGGGGAGGAGGCAGATGCTGGCCTCAATTATGGGACTCTTGCCATCTTCTGAACATGGAACTGGGATGATTTGCCAGTCCTCCCCACCCACCCAGATATCTGCCAAGTCAGCACCTCTGAAGACCCGTGCAGGTCACCAGGAGATGTCACAGAGGAGATGGTCTTTGGAGCAAGGTCTGAGGAGTCGCCAGGGGGAAGGGGGAGCTAGACTTGGGACCATGGGTTTCTTCACTCACCTGATGGAAGCGAGTTTCAGCAGGAGTCAGACACAGGCACAGACAGGGGCTCCCTGGGAAGTGACGCGTCTGGGGAGAAGGTGGGCCACCTTGAGGCTGAGGCTGGGGTGGCCCTGCTGTCCACGGCATTCGGCAGAGCTGTGGCCTGTCACCGTGCAGGGAGCACACCCAGCCCTCCAGGGGAGCCCGTGGGCCAGGGCGAGGGCAGGAGAGAGGGTGAGCCAGGCCGGGAGACAGAGTCCACTCGTCAGAGCTGACAGATAACGGCCATCTCTGTGGGGGGCGGCAAACGGGGTGGGGTCCTGGGACTTCAGGGGGAAGGCTGGGGAGCCAGAGCCGGGTGGGCCTGATGAGGGTTGGTGGGAGGAGTGGTGAGCCTTTCTCAGGAAGGTCCTGGGGCAGGAAAGCAAAACTTTTCTCTTAAAATGGTGTCAGGACCCGCTCCCCCTCCACAGACCTCTGGTCCCCAGGCCCCTAAAGGCAGTCTGTGGAAACGGGGCTCCCTGCCACGCCAGCCGAGAGGCGCTGAGCCCAGAGGCCTCCACCAAGAGACCTCTCGGATTTTAAAAATGAGCTTAAAAAACAAACAAACAAACAACAAACACTTCCTGTGGGCAGGGGTGTAGCCGAGGTGGAGTGCTGGCCCAGCATGCTGGAGGCCTGGGTTCAGACCCAGTGCCACAGACCAAACGAACCCACGGGTGAAGAACTCGGAGAGCCCCGAGCTGATCCAAAGCAGGCAGAGCAGCCCGGGGTGCCTGGTTCGCTGGGCGCCACGGCACGGGGTCCCACCCACCCCACCCACCCTGCCTGGTGATCCCCTCGTCTCACCCACCACCCACTCCAGTGTGATCACTTTTTAGGTCAGACTTCACCATGTCTGGCTTGGGGTCAGCCAGCTTTCCGCCTCTGAGGCTCAAGTACCTGGAGAGGTCCATCTTGGCTCAGTGTCCGAGTTTCTGTCCGTGGCAGTTGGCCCTGCGGCTCTGGGCCGGTGTGGCTCAGGACTCCATGGTGGGGCACAGGGCAGAGGAGGCAAGGGCTGGGCTGCACTCTCCCTCGGGGCACACTCCAGCAGAAGACCTTGCAGTGGAACCTCTGGAAGGTCCACCCCTCTCAGTGGCACCCAGGGAGGACGCCTCTGGGGAGCCCCTGACCCTCTGCATCTGATCAGGCTCAGGTCCCGAGGCTCCTGTGAGGGGACGGTGTGTCCTGAGGCTCTCTGCGATCCTGTCCCTTGGATCAGCACGTGGGACTGTGTGTTGGTTCCTCTTTGCTGTGTGGTAGCATTCCCTGTGAGTGTCCCGAGTGCGGTCTCACTCTCAGCTGGAGAACGTTCCGGTGGGTGGCCGCGCTCGAGACGGTCAGTTCAGCACCTGGAGAGAGCTGCTGAGGCACTGGTCACTTCTGTCGGATTGCGAGGGGCCAAGCTCTTCTGCAAAGCGGTGTGCCGCGGGCAGTCCCTTCAGTCGCGCACCTCACCGTGTTGTACCTGGTGTATCCCCTCAGTGGGCCGTTGGCTCCTCCCTCCTGGCCTCTCAC